TCCAGCCAGGGTCAACCCACCACATACTGTTAGCTCACTGTATTTATTCTCTGTTTATAATACATCCTGCTCTATTGGAAAGTGGTCACTTCAATAATTAATTACTATATATACACAAAATGCAGACCTCTGTATTTTTTATGTCCAGATTCCTTCACTTTACATGTATGTTACAGCTATTAATACATCTACAGGGAAAACATGCCTGCTACCCCCTCCCCATAAGTCCCCCATGACAGCATGCTAAAATCCAACAGGAAAAAGAGGCACCATACCTAATTCATCTTTTGATCTTCCAGAGGCAAAGAACGTCCGGCTCAGTTCATACCCTCCAAAGAAGAAGAAATAGCCTGGGACTTCCCGCAGCAAAGTGCTTGACAGGCCACGGTAAAATCCAAGGGGACCATCCTTTTGAATAACACCCTTCACTACTGACCAAACTGTACTGATAGAGAGGTTGATCCAGTTAGTGATGCTTAATAGCCAGGATAATGAGAAGGTTACAGAACAAGAGGTAACTGCAGTGACAATTAAGGGTTAGACCCATTGTGTAGACAGCAGAATTCAAGTAAGACTTAGAACAAGATCCTGCTGGGAGCCCTTCACTGGCATCCAGGTTCACTAGAACCTGAAAGATCTCCAGGCTGCGACCCTCCCAGCCACAACTTTTCTCTGGTTAACAGCGCACTACCAACGCGACACTGAGCCAGTATAGAATTCAAAATAATAAATACACATAAAAGTGTTTCAGAGATACTGGGCAGGGTGTATACTTACTTGTGTCCCTGGATTATCTTTCCTGACAACTGCATTTCATGCATGGCCTGCAGCCGGCACTTCACCAGCTCTGTGGGACAGAGGACAAGAGTGGCAAAGGCAGAGGCGAAGGAGCCTGCAGCGGCATTCTGCAGATCACTGCAAGAGAGAAACTGCCGAAGGTATTTGGGCACCGACCTTCAGTGCAGTGGAGCCACTGCACCAGCAATCAGCTTCCTCAACCTGTGCTCTAAATATCATCGAGAAAATTGACACACAGTGTTGGGGGAAAGACTCAAGGGAAAAGTGCAGTTATTTGAACTCGAGAAGTGAAAAACCTAGCTCATCCCATCTTCATACACAACTCAAATACCTCCTTTTGACACCTGAAAAGATATATATATTGCAACCTTTACCCTTTTGGCTATACTTTAGTGACTGCAGCAGAATAAACACTATCAAATCCTCCCTTTTTTGGCTTTTATAAAGATTTCTGTAGACTTGTTTTACTGGGCAACTTTTGGGTACTAGTTACTTCCTCAAAGAGAATAGGAGCAATAATCCCCTCATATAGATGTCAGTGTTTTGAAATTCACCTTACCGGTATTAATACAGGTTTTCAGTGGAAGATGCTAGAAATCTGAAAGCAAGGCACAATGGACCACTATAATCTTTCTACGGATGTGCTGCCCTGAATGCAACCCCGTGAATCAGAGAGAGTGCAGACAAACATAAACCACACCACTGAACAAGACAGCGCTGTCATCCGCATTGACCCACAGTATGCCAAAACTGGGGCTTGCTTTGCAGTGATTTTACACGTATCACAAAGTCTGGGCTGCTAAACTGCCAGGACTCAAAAGGCTGGTACTCTAGGATATATGGCTTTATGATACACTTTAAATAGGCTCCTATAGACACTGGTGTGTTGGACAGGAGCTGCACAATAGCACAGAACAAGTGGAGCATCTCTCTTCTTTCAGAACCTGGGGAATCAGCACAGCTGAGAGGGACCTCGCTGCTGCACGGAAATTCCTTCCATACAAAGGAGATGTTTGCCCTGTGCCCAACAGTTTCATACATCTATAGTATCAGAGAGCTACAACTTCTCACCTTACAGAAGCATCACAGAACTAAAACTGTGACACAAAGCAAAGTTCATGACACATTCCAATATGGAATGTGACAAGAACCGTCAAAGTGGAAGAAATCAGTAACTGCCTGCAGAGCAGTGACTGAATAATATGCAGTAAGAAACGGCAACACCGATTGCACAACCCTCTTGCAGCACACAAAGCTTGGCGTAACAGGGATCTGCAATGCAACCCACTAAAGTTCAAGGCAGAGTTAAAAGTACGGTGCGCGGCTGAGCCCTGCAGTCATTAAGCTGTCAGCTAGAGCAAGGCAATAAGGTTACACATTGAAGAATTAGGATAAGAAAGTATGGAAGAGATGCCTGCTAACCATGCACTAAAGGGTGCACAGGACCCTTCCTCCTTCAGGAGAGGAAAAAAACCCCAGATGCTATCAGATGAAAAGAATCCTGACACAGACATAAAGGACTAGATCTAGCCATAATTCAGATCTTTTCAAAGTCTCACCTGTTGATGTTTAATTCTACATACAAAAATTCAGCTAGACCTGCTGTTTAGGCTTTCGTCATTGCAGAAGTGATAAGCCTTGAATCCTGTTCAAGTTCCCTCTCAGCTCAAAACGCCTAATTCAGTATTTTTTTTCTGGATGGGAATATTTTTTCTGGGTTTTGATCACACATCACAGGAGCAAGAATCCTCTACTCTTACACTGCTGCTTCTTCTATAAGAGGCACTGATCTTGTTTTTTTTCAAAGAAAGTAACCTGCTGAAGTTCACGTACTGAGAAAGTCAAACTGAGGTGAACAAGGATAATAGTTCTCTCAGTTTAGACTTTGGCACAGAACGAAATCAGTTTGGTTGGACTAAATGTACACTTAAAGACAAACAGAATGCAGCACTTCTCTTTCCATTTGGTTGTCTCAGTTTAGACTTTAGCATGGAATAAAATCAGTTTGGTTGGACTAAATGGATGTTAAAAGATAAATGGAATTTAGCCTTTCTCTCTCCATTTGTTTTCTTTTTGACTCACGCATCAGTGGCATGTATTCCTTTAACTGGAAAAAGTGTTGTTTTGTAACTGTCCTTGTAACGGTTTTGCAAGGCTTCACACCCTGACCCGGGTATCCCTAAACACAGGCAGGCTAGGCAAGCTTATTTCCAAGACATTTAAAGGTATGACTGAAGAGGTAACTTAAAGCAAAACCAAACTAATATAGCTGGTTTCGAGAAATTTCAAACACTATGAAATAATGAAAATGAGAAGCAATTGCTTATACATGAGTAAGAAAAGTGGTCAGGTTCACCTCAGTTTGTGACTTGATGCATTTTCTTCTTCAGGCTAAGACAGTATGACAGTTTTTAAACAGCAGAGGCAAAGAAGGTAATTGTAATTCTTTAGTTGTCATGTCTGGAGGTTAGCCACCTCATCAAGGTTTCTTCCCTCCCCTACAGCACAGTACAGAGGCTTCTTGACTTTTCCACGGTAAGAATGGGTGGAGACGTCCTGGACAGACCACATGTACTCAGTGCACCACTGCAGACCATGTCAATACAATTCTCTCATACATGCACCCCATAAGAAGCCTCCACAATGATCCAGATGAAAAAATCAAGGGAGCAGCACCAAGGGAGAAATCTTTCAAGTAAATTTAAATCCTTTAGTGTTTTGTCCGAGCACAGCCATGCAGTCACACTATTTGCTCTTTGATCAACAATGCATTGAACAGCCATCCTGGATCTGAAAAGCACTGTTACCTGACCAAGGAAAGAAGGGTCAGATGTCAGAAGCACTTGCTATTGCTACATATCCAAATACATTCCCATTCTGCGTCCTACTCCAAAGATACGTAGTAGTACACCTACATATACTGTTAGAAGGTTTCCTGCACTACCTCCCCTACATATACTGCAAACATGCTGTCTCAGTCATGTGAAGAGATGATCCTAGGACCTCTGCAAGTGGTCTGCCTCCCAGGAGGATCACAAAACAAAAGTTGAGCCGCAAGGATGCTGCTGGTAGGCCCACCTCCTACGTTTTAGTGGGTAGGAAAAGATACGGGGTCTCTAAGCTGAGCAAGCAGAAACCCCCTGATCTAAGCAATTAAGAAAAAAAAGGTGGAAACAGTTCTGTCTCAGCTGAGAGGTCTCAACTGCCAGAAAACAGTGAAAGAGAATGCAAGTAGAGAGCAATTAGTATAACTGGTTTCTCCGTCACTTCATATTCCCTCATAGCAGGCTTCAGTCTTAAGATACAGCACATCTTAACACGTGACAGGAGAACACCTCACTTAACGTCACTTTTAGATACTTGTCTTGCACTTAGGTAACTACCCATGTCAAGTCAGAGATCTCAAATGCAGAATCATGGCCTTCCCAGCTCCTTCCATTTGGAGACAGACGTGACAGGGGCAGAACACCACTTATTAATAAAAAGCTGAATGTGGTTAACCTTGCATCGCTCTTTGAATGAATGGAGTTAGGAGAGTATGAGAAGCCTTTTACACTCTGTGGGGCAGCAGAAGGACGGAGAAGGTGCAGCTACTCGCAGCGCTGCACAGAAGACATACCTTGAGAAATGCGTAACAGTAAGGCACACTGAGACTGCTGGACCACTGACAGCTCTGAAGTGATGCACCTAGAGAAAAGCCATCCTAGCTAGAAAGAGATTATGATCATTATGCCAGTGCATAAATCCATGACTTGTTCACACCCTCAATACTCTGAACAGCTCTGGTCTCATGAGCTAAAAACCCAGACACATTAGAATTACAAGAAGTTTCAGAGGGAGACAGCAAGGACAGCTAAAGGAACAGCTTCAGAGTGCTCACTGACTAGGAGGGGTGGGATCCTTCCATCTAGGAAAAAACTCAGCTAGGGAAGAGGGGCATTGAACAATGGATAGAGCTCTACAAAATCCCAGTAGCACAGACACAGTGGCTACGGATCAACAGTTACAGAACTAACGACTATCACCTGCAGAACTCCCTGCCAAAGCGTACTGCAGATGCAAGGAACTTACAGGAATTCAAGAGGAGACTGGACAAGTGCTTCAAAACAGATCCAAAGACACCGACTGGATCACTCCAGGATCAAGCAATCCTCTGAACCAAGAATGCAGCCTGGCAGGGGACTCAGTAAGTATTAAACGCTTCCTTCTCTTCTTTCTCATTCTTTAGGCAACCACTATTGCCAGTGCTGCAGACAACACACTATGCAAAATTAGACCTTTGGTCTAACCATCATTACATTCAAGCTTTTGAAACTTATTTAAGTTTATAAAAGCAAGGCAATATTAGAAAAGTGTCCTTCCTCCTTAGTATGCCCCCCTGTAAGAAGAACCACTACCTCTCCTGCAAAATCAGAACCTGGAGATCAAGGCAATACCAACTTTCAGGTGTGGCAATGCTCAGTCCCTTCAGTAAAAACATTCCAGGTCTTGAATATTCCAGTTAAATTGTGATTATCTAAACCAGCCAGCTGCAGTGACAAGTAGCTCTCTCTGTTGTAGTTAGACACCATAACCTAGCACAAAGGTCTATATTCTAAAACTTACTACCCTGTATACCGGCAGAGGGGGGCCTGGGACATCAGCTGCACCCTGACAATACAGTATTTGCAAGCAGCAGTTGCACGATCATTTATTTATTTAAAAATATGAAACAGATATCAATTACTAACCTGAGCTTTGTTTTCCTGTCTACTCCAACAATTCTTCTCACAATTTGTTGGCAAAATCCATAGCACATGAACAGAACGGAGTTCTCTGCGATGTTGGCTACAAGCGCTGGTGTGGTTCCCTTGTAGAAGCCTCGAAGCCCCACTTGCTTATAGGTTTTCACAAAACAGTCAACAATTCCTTTGTACATGTTGGGGAACGTCTGCATCTTCACCTTTGCGGTGTCAAAGGGCTGGCCAGTCACCACGCATGCTGTCCCACCTAAGCAAGCAGTGGAAGTTAAGAGGGTGGCTGAAGGTTATCACAACTGAAACATCTGTACACAAACAGCACTACCAGGAAAATCATGCAAAAAGTAAAAATTAATTCATTCTCCACAGGAAAAGACTAGTGCACTCATTTTAGCACAATGGCATCAACTGTGAGTAGTGAATTTAGTTACCTGAAGAAAAAAAACCCCCCAAAAAACAGGCATAAGAGCAGTAACAGCTTGATTAAACATTTCTTTACCTTACTAAAAGCAAGCATCCGAATGAATCGGTTCACTTACATAAATGGGTACCAAATTACAGGTATTATTCTGCAATCAAGGCACTTGTGTTAATGAGTTAAGCAACGCTTTCCCTTGCTCATTAATGCAGGGGTTCAGAAGCCATCTGATTTTACATTCCAATAATAACAAAAAACTGAAAGATTTATTATCAAGTGAAACGAAGATTCCTCCAGGACAAGAGGAACACTACTGAGAGAGTACTAAAATTGATGATACATCATAAATTGATAACCAAAGACTCAAGCCCTTTACTTCAAAGCTCCAGATTGATTCTTATGTACATTTATTTCCACATGCTGCAAGGAACTGTCCAGTACAATCTGAAAAAGGGCAAAGTTTCTCAGCATGTTATCTTTTCCAAACTGAACCATGAGGTCAATATCCTGAAAATTTGTGAGGTATTTCCATTAGTGTCATCAACAACCACTCTGCCCACAGCGCAGTGCTCTTCCACAAGATCTAACTCAATTCAGTAGTCTGCAGAATGAGCTAACGTTACACTGTTTTAGTAAGAAATACCAGTGTACACTGACAGCAATCCAGTAGAAGCTAATACGTAACATGAAGCATATGATAGGCCTACCTTATATAGGCTTTATGGTTTTGCTTTTTTTAGCAAGAGAGAAGAACCATCCTAAACCAGAAGCTCATCTTTAAGCAAAGCACAGCTGACATGCATATACCTTAAAGAGGGCAAGTTAACAAGATGTTTTTTCAGCTATGAAACAGAAATAATCTGTAAATGCAGATAATGTAAAGAAACTGACACAGAAAGAAATCTGTGAATCCAATAAGGATTAGTTATTTTTCCTCTAAGTGGGGAGAAGAAGAGTAAACAAATGTTTAACTGGGCTTATTTTCAATTGATTTTACTCTTTGCAAATGCATTTGTGTTACATTGTTGTTGCTCCTCCACAAAGAGGTACTTCAGGTCTTTTAGAGGAACTCAAGTTCTAGCTGCCATAAAGCCTCATTCTCAACCAGGTGGGTCATTAAAAGTTTCAGAGCAAATCACTCAAGGAAGCATGAAGAGCTTCTTGCTCTGGGAGGGATAACCAAGGAGAGAAGTAGCTGGCTCAGACCGGTAACATCCATGTAACTGGATGAAAAGCAGAGCTGGAAAGGCTCAGCCAATGCTACCTGCAGGTGAGTCAGGTAGATATTAATGCACAGGAGAAATGCCAGGTTCTTGTGTAAAGGTAGACTTAAAACATCCACACGTAGTAAAATAATGGCTGCCTGAAGAAGCTCAAGAAAACCAGGAATGGTCTTGGGAATGCAAAGCTGAAAAATTGGGAGTTGACTGTGAATGGCTGTTCCAAAAGGAGAAAATGCTCTCCTCACACTGTCATTGGAGGTGGCACAAGAAGCTCAGTAAACTACAGCAGTGAACTTTGTAAGCCTCAAGTTAAAGACCAAGAGTCTCAGTTAATACCTAAATTATTAAAAAAAAGAATACTTCTTCCAGCCAGCAGTGGAGTCTAAAAAACCCAACAAAACCAAAACAAAAAAACCCAAAAAAGTCAACCTTGCTTGAACATTTAGACAAATGTGGTCCTAATAACAACATGGGAATGGTGGGGAAAAGAGTCCTACTTAATCAAAGAAGCGATTAGAGCTTGCTCAGATCCTAGGCAAAGGACTATGACCCATAGGCAGCTGCATGACTTATTCTTGTTCAGAATTTACTTGCCCCAATATGTCATTACTTATCAGCTAGTCTAGACTGTATCAGTAGAGGAAGGTAAAACCAGGTTACGCTTTTGCTGGAGGAACTAGCTGTTTGCCTAGTTAAATACACCTTCTAAAAGGTGCAGAGACATATGTAACACAGAAACAAGCGCTATCAACGAACATAAGCAGATCAAAGCAAGTATGTGGAAAGAATATGGAAAATAAATACTAGAGGAACAGTAGAACTATCTATTACAACAGAAGTAGCAAAGAAAAAGAAGAACAATGATTCAGGATTACTGAAGTGACGTTGAAAAAGGTCTGAATTCCTTCATCTTATCTGAAGGAAGGAGAACTACACCAGAGAAGAAAACAGCATAATTAGTTCTAAGATTCTCTAAGCTCTACTGCCAAAAACCAGGCAAACCTCCAGTGCGTGCCCTGTTAGCCTGAATGTGGGCATGGAACAGTATCACCACGCAATGGATTTCTAAGCTGATGCTAGTTTCCAGCTCTTGTAGCAGCCAAGATGAAACCCACCAGGCTTCAACTCAGAAAGACAACTTCCTAAGCCATAGTGCTCCACTGCCCTGGATGTTTGCAGCATTCCGGAGCTGAAGCACTGGGAAGGAAAGCAATCACACCTCTCATTTAAGCACCTGGGAACACCCGCAAAACTGTCAAGATCTGCACAGATACTAAGTTGTACTTTGGGAAATAGAGCAGATACAATAGCTATTCTTTACTGAGAATCCAAAAACCAAGGAGAATGAACAAACTAAGAAACATATTTTTTCTAAGCTACTTTCGGAAATAGAGCAGATACAATAGCTATTCTGTACTGAGAATCCAAAAACCAAGGAGAACGAACAAACTAAGAAACATATTTTTTCTAA